TTATTCGCAACTTATGAACTGTTAAGCAAATATAATTGTGCATAAATTCTACTTGCTACTTCCACTTTCATTTGCTTCATATTCTGTTCCTTCATGTATATTGTACCGTATAATTACTAGTTTTCAATAAATCACATCACTATCAATCATTTTGGGTATATAGTTCTTTGTATCCACACTATAATACGTGGCATTTTTAAGCATTTACATAAATCTGCGGCATTTAATTCATTTAAAAAGGAAATAATATATGTAACAATCTAAGTGACTAAAATTCAATATTTTACTCACCAGTGAGGTGTAAGATTCTTGAAAGCGACATAATCAAATAATAAATACATTGGATATCAATACATGGTTCAGAAATTAGCTGTGTAATTAACAACTCATCCAATTGTTAAAAGGGTCGAGTGTGTCGATTGACGTAATGTCTAGAAATCATATGGTGTGAAAGATGAGGAAATTGTAGTAACAGTCGTGTGCTCACTAACCATTAGTATCAAGATGTAGCCCCTGTTTTAGTGAAAAGCCGTGACCATTGGAGTTCAATCCGTGTAGAGAGTGAAGCAGTTATCCACCACAGCCAATGAATGAAGGTTGGTCGAGATTGTGAATTGGTTAAAACTAGACATTAACTCCGTTGGACGCCAGCTCAATGGTTTTAAATTTAAGTGTTCACAAGCGAGATAAAAAGTCCTAGGTTCGGTTCTTGATATTAAGGTTGTGGATCTGCATTGATGAGGAGTTTCATACTAAGACGAAACAACCGTTTCTTGAATCTAGGTTTTCAGTGATAGTCAAGCTAAGATCAGTTTGTGGCATAAAATGTGGAAAAATAATATAAGTGTTTTAAACCAAACTTACTACAGAATGAGGACGAATAAATAGTTCTTCAGTGCCGAGGTTTGACTTGATAGTTTAAAATAAATTGAGTACTGGGTAGAAGGTTAATAGTAAATATAATACTATTTAAAATTGCGTTAATTCAATTGAGTTATTTATTTATTTACTTTGAAGAAGTGGATTTCACTAAGTCACAAAACATCGGAAACATAATTTTTCTAGTCGCTGAGATATAACAAAAATATGTATGTTGCTTTACAAATTTAGTCAATTTATCATTGAAGTTGTACTCTTAACTTTCTGAAGAGTTATTTTCATTTCTTGTGCATTCATTCAGTATTTGTTTGTCTGTAGCAATTTGTATGTTTGAACATCGTTTCTATTTGTTAAAGATTCATTTTTGAGTTTGGAGAGCTACTGCTTATTATTGATGTGTATTGTAAATAACTCTTGTATCACTATTGCAGAAAACCTTTCCTTTTTTTCAGTTGTATCATGACGGATTTAAATATATTAGATGTTTGTAAAACAATTTTTTTGTCATGAATAGCAGTACCGTTTTGCAAGCAAATCCTTACACGTGACTCAACCATTTAGTCTGAATCATTCAGTATATTTATTACCTTTATTTATAATTTTGAAGTTAACAAAACGTATAAGTAAAAAAGAACGAAGTGAAAGTCACAAAGCTATCAATGTTTATTTGGTTGTTCTCATCATCAAAATTTTATCACTAAATGGTTAGTTCTATCTCCCAGCAACAACATTTAGGCAAGTCGTTAAAAAGCAGTTCATAAAATACCATAACCATAATTCGAATTACTAACTCCTGAAGAAACGACTTGAACTAAGCTTCAAGACGTCAGAATTTTCTACTCGCTAGGATATTAGAAATATATCACCATTCCCAGACAGTGTGAATGGAACATTGAAGTAGGTCCTCCAAATCTAGCTGAAGTTCAAGAGGCTACAGTTAATCTGAGATGAGAAAGGACAGCTGGTCCAGATGGACTGGCAGAGTCTTTTGGTAGCACTGAGCAACAATGCCAGGATGTTTGAAATGCGCTTCTCCCACTCCAAATGCAAGTTGTTGCTTCAAGATTGGTCTGCGTCAACACCTGAACTAAGGATAGGAAGTGAAGTAGTCGAACGCGTCGACAACTTCACTTATCTTGGAAGTCTGATCAACCCTAATGGGTTGGTGTCTGACGAAATCTCAGCACCGATTCGAAAAGCTCGTTTGGCATTTGCCAACTTACGTCATCTTTGGCGAAGGCGAAATATCCGTCTATCAATTAAGGGTCGAGTATACCGCGCGGCAGTTTGTTCCGTTCTACTATACGGCTGTGAAACATGGTCTTTAAGAGTAGAAGATACTCTAAAGCTACGAGTATTTGACCACAGATGCCTTAGAAATATTGCCCACATGTGCTGGGATCACCGGGTAAGTAATAGTGAGGTTAGACACAGGGTATTAGGGAATGATGGTAAATCAGTTGATGAGGTTATGAATCTTCATCGACTGAGATGGTTGGGCCACGTGCTGCGTATGTCTGAACACCGATTACCACGACGCGAAGTGTCAACCGGTGTTGGGGATAGTTGGAAGAAAGTTAGGGGCGGCCAAACCAAAATGTGGCATCAGTGCTTGAAGACACTAACTTCTAGTCTGAGCCACGTTGGTAGATGCAGACTGCTTGGTTGGTGTCCGCGTGACTATCGTAACCAATGGTTGGAGACTCTTGGTGACATGGCTCAGAATCGATCACAATGGCGTCGGTGTGTACACTCTTTGTCTTCCTTTAAACTAAGAGATTAAAATCGCTTCATATCTTTCTTTCTACGAACTAATTCTTTTGTGGTGTCTGTCATTACGTTAAGCCCGAATACCTTATTATTCTAACTTTCGGACAGCGCATTCTATTCATTCTATGAGTCACATTTTGATCTTGTTAATTATTCGCTTATCAATATCTTGACCGTCTTTATATGAGCGCGTAGGTGTATGTACACTTCCTATCCCGTTATTCATCACATGTCTGTAATTTATTTTTGTGTGTTTATAAATATTGATTAACGCTTGGTTAACAGGGCGTTGGCTTACCAGCCATCTCCACCGCGCGCCAATTTAGCTTCGCTTTCTCATCTTCGCATCGTTCCTCATTTCGTTTGTCTAATCAACAATTATACAAAATATATGCATTCAAAACTCCATTCTCGTTATTTGACTTATTTAATTGCGTTATTAACTAACGCGATTTAGGTCAATGATTAAATACGAGGATAGGCGATAGCAATCATTCATACAATCCAACTGGAGTCAGATCTCGGGCCACTAAACTTTCTTCCTGTACTATCTCCTTATATGCAATCTTTCTTCTATATATTACCACCACTGAATTAAGTACTTCTATGAATCCGGTGTTCATCTTGTTGTGCTAATGCGGTATGGCAACTTGAACCGATGCATATATGTGCCTGGTCCTATGTTGCAGCTGACTGACATTATTGTTAGTAATAATTGAAAATTCTTTGATTGAGAAAGTAGATACTTTGATTTTAATATATTTGGAAAGTTTGACATCCCTTTCATACAAACAGGAAATTTTTCAGTTCTAACATTAACATCGTTACAGTAACTACAACAGTCAATTGCTTCGTGATAATACTGCAGGTAGGAAGGCCATCATTCAATTGAAATATAGAGTAAGCCATATAAGAAGTGTTTATTAGACTGTACTTAGCACTTACAAAATGAAAGAGTTGACCATAGTATACAATGCAAACTTATTGGTCAGCTTTTATTCACTAAGTCAACCTTATTTGATGCATTCAAAATTGTCTAATCATTCACGATAAAAAAAGTTTATTTATTTCTGGACACAATTGAATAATTGGATTCGCTGAAATCGATTTAGCTGGGATTAAGTCTATTCTATAAGAAATTTATCTGTTCAGCCATGAACAGGGATCACATCATTTTATCCGTCAGTTGTTACATTATAACATTTACTGGTATGGATTTCAAGAAATCCACAAACTCTCACCTATTTTACTGTATGCTCTCACACTATATTTCTGAAAAAATCCACTTGCACATTTGTAATTAAAATGTTATTATTTACTTAAATTTTCAAACTTATGAACTCAACAGGTCACTTAAAGGTAAACTTGCTCCGATCCATTCATTGTTAGAGACAATACTAACCTAGAAATTTTAATCAATTACTACAAATATAAGAAATTCACTAATTATGGTGGTATTTTATTTCTTCAACTCGATCACATCACTGATTAAAGTTTATAACATGAAAATGAGGTTTATTCATATAAATTATGTTCATCTTTAGATATAATTTTTGTTATCAGTCGATCGTATTTTCACAGCAACTACTTAAAATGTTTAACTATTTAGTAAAGCGATAATTATTTGGTTTAAAACTATGGTAACAGCCGTTGAATCAATGATTACAGTGTAAAATACACCTTCCTAGAAATCGTCATATTTAACCCTGACCAGGTTAAAACAAACTTCATTTATGAAGTGTTTAAAACATCAAAAGTGAAATGTGAATAGAAATTTCACTTTAAACAACGTCGCTTAATTGATGCTTGCTCAGTGAATACGATCAGCCTTAAGGAAGTATTACTTTTTTCAAAGTTGATCTTTTTAAGCTGAATATTTATTAATGTACATATTAAACATTCGAGTAATAACTGGTCAATATATTGCTTGCTTATATAAAATGTATGTTTCAATTTTAATATCTTGAGTATTTAAATGATCATTTTATAGAATAAACTAATCAAAATTACGAACAACTCTATTGGTTATTCATTAGGATCTACAAGAAAATAAACCTTATCAGAAGTTAAACCCTAAATATCAATATATTAAATAAATTTTACAAATATTTCGAGTTTAAAGGAGTTGCTTTTTAGTAGACCCTGAGGGAAAACAAACACATTCAAGAAGATGTCAGTGTGAAATAGGGATTCTTACTAAATAACGGTTAGTAAATAATTCTACTTGACACCAAATTTACATTATCGTACAGAATATGATCACCTTAATAGTGAGGTAGAAAAAAAAACAGATTAATTCTTTTCACAAAAATTTAACAAACTAGTAGTGAATAGAACAGAAAACAATAAATTTATCAAGTAAATATGTATTTTATAATACCGTATGTCGTTACAAATAATCTAAAATGGAAAATAAGATGAGAAATTTCCACATCAAAAACTGAGACAACATTCAGAAACAGTAAGGTTGTTCAAATCTACTCATCATTAAGTACAAAATACAAACACATTGCTCAAGTTACTGTTTTTTTTTCTTGCTCAATACGAAAACATTCAGAATGTAACAGATCCATTGCAAATTGAAAGAAAAAAAACACTTTCTTATAGTATATTAGTCATACAAAACTATGATTTGTTTATACATACATCCGTCTAGAAATTGTATAAATAAAACCTGTATTAACATACTATTTAAAGCCTAATAATTCATGTTGAACAAAAAACAAGATCCGTTGTATGAATTTCCGGTAGATGTAAATTATTCATTTCATTCAATCTGTTTGATACTTCACGTAGAAAATTTTGTACCATAATTAGTTTGGCTTCATTATAAGGCAAATTATTCCAAGTACAAATATTAAACTGGAGAGCAAAATACACAAACATGAAATAACATTTTTTTCAAAAAAAATAAATTTTAATGAAGTAACTTCTTTAGTTCTTTAAAAAAGTTTTTGTTTAATCACAATTCTGTACAAAACAAACTGTTTGATGCATTTTACTGGTGATAAACACTCACTTTTAACCAGGAATAGTCATGAATTCATGGAGCAGAAAAACAAAATAACAAGCCCTATAAAGCACAAAATTATATTATTGATCTTAATTTTATGACTTTTAAGATGATGAGATATGGTGTTGAATTATAGAATCAATTTAACTAGAAAAACAAAACAACCGAAATTCTTCTCGACCTTCTTCTATATGCCAAACAAAATCGATCATTTTTAATCTGTCTTTTTTTCTAGATCCATCCCGTCAAGACCAATATTTAAAAAGGTAATAAAAATTAAATCTTTTTTACCAGATTAAGTATTAATCTTTCACTTTTGCATTATTCAGAATATTCATTATCCACTTTACTTCTTTACAAGAGTTTGAAAGAAAAAACGGACAATATAATTCTTAATTACCATAGAAATCATTATAATGATTCAAAGTTATTTAAAATGAGAAAATATTAAATTGTAAATTGTATTAGATTGATTGTCGCATTTAAATAAAATGATTAGAATGTGGAAAATTCAATCTTACCGTAAGAACAGGTAAACATTGTGTTTCACGATAAAAGTTTAACAGTGAAAGTAACGGACCTTTGGCGACCTCATCACGATTTTCATGTGCAATACAAATAACGTAATTATATTTACCTGAAAAAGTTGAAAATAAAAAACGATTTCCAAGAGCAAATTTTAGAAAAAATATAGCGTCACACTTAAATTAAAACTCATGAAAATGTGTCTATTTTAACAAGACTATATTTGACTAAATGTCTATAAATGTACTCTTAACCATTCCTATGAATCCGGTGTTCATCTTGCTTTGCTAATGCGGTATCGCAACTTGGACCGTTGTATATATGTGCCTGGTCCTACGTTGTAGCTGACTAACTATAAATGTACTACATATTGAAGCTAATTCATTTATAAAAAGATGAACATACAGTTAAAAATTATAGGAATTGTTAGAAAAATGATGTATAATTATAATGAAACCCCGGAAAGAGTTCGATGAGGAGTCCTAGTAGGCGGCCTATGTTCCTCCACTGTTGAAAAATCAACGAACTAGACAATTTTTTCTCGGATTATATAATCGCGTAACATCATTCGATCAAAGCGTTCACATCCTTGAAATAATTCAGATTAGTAGTTGAAGTGAGAAATTCAAGATAATTAGGAAGCTGATCATGATGATGCAGTATTCTCAGTCATAAGTTATTTTACTCTTGATGTAAGTAAACTTAGTATGTTCATGACCAAATTCATAAGTAAGTAAGTAGTGTGACACAGCTATATATAAATATATAGTTCAAAATTGAGAATAAAATATCAAATAAATAAACATAATTTATTCATTTTGATTAATCAAATAATTAAAAGAGAATGTTATGAATTACCTTCGTGTTGTTCGCATGCTTGTTTAAACAGAATATCTACAGTTATTAGACAAAAAGAACAATGATCGTTAATGAAATGCTATTTGAGTAAAAAGTGATTATACAAGCCACGGAAATAAACTGAATATGACCAATAATACCACTGTACAATCTTTTCTTCTTAATTCAGCTAGTTTTACAGACAGTGCAGTGATTTTGTCTATTCCAAGTTGCAATCAACGAAAACAATTATAAATAGTCATTATCCAACTATAAGATTTTCTACTCTTCAGTTGTTTTCAGATCAATTTTGTGTCAACTGATAGTAGGTTACTAAAATCGTCCATTTGACGAATAAGACATATACAATATACCAAGGGCAATTGTCTGTCAAATAATACTTACAATTAATTTCCGAATAACACATTTTTTCTTAATTTATAATTTAACTTTTCTCAATACCATTATAATCCACATAGAATAATTTAAATGATAATATAATGGTGGAATAAGTCATAAAGCATATTTATGGTAGGGATAAATTAATTCGCCAATCTGCCAAACATTAACTCGAACGATTCATACTATCGAATTAATATTAGTAGTATATAATTTAGGTTGAAAAATTGAACTGAATCTATTCTAATGTGAGAAAAACAGCGACTAATTTATATGTAAACGTCCGACTAAAAGTTATTTTTAACTAGAAAAGTATAAAAGTTTTAGCACTCATACAAAAATCTTATTTACCTACTTTAGAATACCTTTAGTTACTTGATTATGATTACTATATTCTATCAACGAAATGAATTTGTGTTGTTATTTGCATATCCAGGCATTAATTTCACGAAGATGACCATGATATTAAATTATTTAGATAGTGAGTACACCGATAGACACGTCGAAAAACATATCATAGGAAAACAGCAATAAATAAATGTTTATGATATGTAGTTTACAAAAAACAATATATCATGATATGACACTGAAGAAAAGAGTGAAGTGATATACTAACCTGCAAAGTATACATTACTATTATCGCTATTAGGATACAGTATACACTGAAATGTATCCACGTTTAATTCTTTGAACAGGTCACTATTTTTAAGGAACACATGGTATAAACGATTCACGATTTTTCTTTTATTTATCATTTTTTTGGAAATCACTGGATCGTTTATTTCATTGCTAAAAATACAACAAAAAAGTTCTAGTGTATAGAGATTCGAAAAACTGGGACTTACAATGGTAGGGTCCTGATATGTCAAAGTGAAAATTAGAGGAATGGTAACTTCCAGAACTAATTTACGAATTATCATGTTATATATTCTTATTGTATAATTATTAAGTAGATAGATGACCGTATACATGTATTCTGTTTATCATAAGCTTCCGTATAACCCATAAATTACTATCATACGGTTTGTTGGTAATCTGTTACTCAGTCTCCTCTATTCGCAACCACTTTTAACTTGTTTATGTACAATTGACATTATTCATTTTATGGTGTGATAAGGTCCGGTATTTCTAAACATAAACTACGTCTGTTTGAAATGTAAATATAGTAGGAGCTGTCGGACACAAGGGGAGGAAGATGGAGAAGCCTGTGAACTACGGATTGACAGGAAATGAATTTCCGGCACACGGTTAATAATCCTGATCAGGTGTGTAATCGGTCAAGTCAGAGAAAATAATAGACGTCAAATATACCAAATAAGAAATAGGATTCTGATTAGTGACTCGGTACGAAATATTGGTTAGCCATTAAAACTGTAAAATTAATGACTCTCAATGAAATGCAACTGTTGAATTTATTTCACATGAAATGAGAGAAACTTGTGACCACATGAGAAAAACAACTTCTTTGATATAACCAATAAACTCATTTTACAGCCCATGCGAAAATTAAATACAACATTTCCTTTTGAAATTTATTTGTTTTTTGGATGAAATAAAAATTAAACAAACAAATTATAGTGTTCATTATCCAAACAACCAAATTAATTCTTAAAAGTTAAACAAACCTTTGTAAAAGTCCAAGACCACAATGATAATAAAATCTCCAATAATCGCTAGGTAGTGAAGAAACCGACAGTTCTAAACGAAAGAAAAAAAACAATGACTCAATACATATTCAATAACTAATGAGGAAACATAAAGTACGACATACAAGAATTTTAGTTTTAAAAGTATATCATAGTATTAAAATATCTTGAAGAGATTGATTTTGAAAAAGTCATATAGTAGATTCACAATAAATGTTTCAAAGAAAAGAGTTTCGATCAATCAAAATCTCTATTTTTATCTACATCGAACACAAATGACTTTAATTCAGTTTCACAAGTATATTATTATGATAATCACAATAATGTTAAAAAGAAAAATAAACAAATAAGTGTGCATTCATTTAAGATTTCCACTTTCTAGAAACTGTAGTTTCTCATAGTATATAGCACACAAAATGGCATAAAATTGTTGGGATGGCCACTGAGAAGCCACCCACGTACATAGTCGATTGACGGACTTATCGATCAGATGTTTAAATATTTAAAATGGCAGTCGATTGACTAAGTTATCGATTAATGTTTAAAAAACTTCCATGGCAATATTGATCATATATATAATTGTATAAATACGCATGTTTTATTGTATGTTTTGATTCTTGTCAAATAAGTGCTCTCAAGCGTCTTTCGTCTTCTTACTTGCGAGGGTTTGGAGGTTCTAACGTTCGAGTGTCATCAGTTATATAGTGTTTGTGCGTATTCAAGTAGAGAACATAATAGTGGCGACGGGTTTTACAATCAAGAATGCCAATTACCCTTGAACAAATAGAATCTTTGCTGGAACGTCCAGAAAAACGATATGAACAGTTCCAGGAGCGAATGTTGGAGATGTTAGCGAAACAAATGAATCTGAATAACAGAGGTCTTACTGATGATTCATATAATACGCATACAGACTCGATAATTAATTCCATTCAGGGATTTCATTTTGATGACCTAGCTGGTGTGACTTTCGAGTCTTGGTTCAAGAAGTATGAAGATTTGTTCAAGGTCGACCTCAACAAACTGGATGACGCTGCCAAGGTCAGAATACTCTTGAGAAAGCTTGGCACGATTGAACATGAACGTTATAGTAATTTCATCCTCCCAAAGAATCCAAGAGATTTCTCTTTTGATGCAACAATCGAAACTCTGACGCAAATCTTCGCGGAACAATAATCTCTCTCTAATATTCGTTATCAATGCCTCAAAATAACGAAGTCAAGTGAGGATGATTGGGTAAAACATGCCTGTCTAATAAACCGTGAATGTGAACGATTAAAACTATCATCAATGACGGAAGACCAGTTTAACTGCCTCGTGTTTGTGTGTAGCCTACAATCTCCCGAAGATGCTGATATAAGAACCACAATCTTAAGCAAAATTGATCAGTGCCCAAACATCTAACTACAAGAAATAACTGCAGAGTGTCAGAGATTAGTAAATTTGAAACATGATACCTTCATGGTCGAGAACGATAGCCGGCCGTCATACGTGCATGCTGTTAGTGAAAAGAAAGACTCCGGCTCACAAAAACCATACAGCACAGACAACCAGCCCTCATCTCCTTGCTGGTCATGTGGAGGTTGGCATTACAAGATGTTTTGTCTATACAAAGAATATTTCTGCACTAAATGTCACAAAAAAACCAGATGTAGAAATAAAACTCGCAGACGTTACTCTTCAAAAGTCTATTCCAAGAAATACAGATCTGGTAAGAAAACAAACAAAATATTAGTATCTCATAACCAGACAAGAATTCACCGCCGAAGAAAGTATGTGACCGTGGACATGAATGCACACCGTGTCCGTCTTCAACTTGACACAGCATCTGATATCACCCTAATCAGTCCAAAAACTTGGGAGAAAATTGGGAGACCTACAGTTCACCGAACGAAGCAGCTAGCGCACAGCGCATCTGGAGGTAAGCTTAATATTGTTGGGGGAAATAACGTGCAATGTTTCGAAAAATGAGGCAACAACGAGTGCAACTGTTTACTTAACCAAGAACCCGCAACTCGATTTATTGGGGTTGGATCTAATAGATGCTTTAAAATTAGCAAATCATCCTCTCAACAATATCTGCAGCCAAATCAGAATCAATAACCCTTTAGAGTCAAGTCAGAGAAATGCCATCATAAAAAGGCATCATCACGTGTTTTTAGAAGTCAACAGCTATTCCTGTTTTTCGACCAAAAAGACCTATACCTTATGCTTCTTTCCCAGTAGTTGAACAGGAACTAGAACGGCTTCAAAAAATGGGTGTCATTGAACCTGTGAGTTTCTCCGATTGGGCTGCACCGATTGTGGTGGTCAAGAAGTCAAACGGCAGTGTCCGTCTATGCGCAGATTACTCTACTGGACTGAGTGATGCGCTAGAACCCCACCAGTATCCTTTGCCTATACCTGAGGATCTTTTTGCTAAGCTGAATGGAGGCAAGGTGTTTGCAAAACTGGATTTATCGGAAGCTTATTTGCAGATTCCTGTCGCGGATGAAAGTAAAGATCTGCTTACTATAAACACTCACAAAGGCTTATTCCGATATAATCGGTTACCTTTTGGAGTCAAAACGGCCCCCTCTATATTTCAACAGGTGATGGATACTATGCTACATGATCTCCCTGGTGTTGCAGCTTATCTGGATGACATAATTATTACGGGCATTGATAGAATAGACCTAGAAAAGAAGCTCGACCAGGTGCTATCGAGAATAGCTGAATATAGATTCCGGCTTCGTGAAGAAAAATGTGACTTTTGCATGCAGAGTGTACGCTACCTCGGTTTTATAATCGATAAGGACGGGAGAAAACCAGATCCAGAAAACACTCAAGCTTTGAAAGCAATGGCGAGACCGACAGATGTTCCCACACTTCGATCCTTTTTGGGGCTAGTTAGTCATTATGGAGCTTTTATCCCTGACCTTCATTGTTTACGTGCCCCACTAAATAGTCTTTTAACAAAGAACGCAGTGGTGTTGGTCTAAAAGTTGCTTTCGAGAAGATAAAAAAACTGCTACTCTCGGATCTGTCGTTGACACACTATGACCCATCCCTACCTATTGTAGTAGCATCAGATGCTTCAAACTACGGCATTGGAGCAAGCATTTCGCATATCATGCCTGATGGATCAGAGAAAGCAATCTCGCATACAGCAAGGTCTTTAACTACAACAGAACGTAACTATAGTCAGATCGAAAAGGAAGCATTGTCAATTATTGTTGCGGTAAGAAAATTTCATAAGATGATATTTGGACGCCGGTTCACGCTTTTAACGGACCACAAACCGCTGCTAACCATATTTGGGTCAAAGAAAGGAATCTCAGTCTATACTGCAAACAGACTGCAACGATGGGGAACAACATTATTGGGTTACGACTTCAAAATTAAATACCAACCTACTACTGCTTTCGGACAAGCTAATGCTTTGTCTAGGCTCATTGGTTCCCAAGCGAATCACGAAGATACTTTGGTGGCAGCGATTGAGACAGAGACAGAAGTACATCGAGTTTTGGGAGACGCAGTCGATGGTCTACCGGTTACGTTCGAAGTTATTAAAGAAGCTACAAGAAATGACAAAATACTACGAGAAGTTAAGGGTTATCTCCTCTCAAAGTGGCCGAATCGTCGTTTACAAGGAGAACTGCAACAATATTTCCGCCGGCGCGATTCACTCATGATTGTGGATTCATGCATTATGTTTGGTGACCGGATTATTATCCCAGAATTATTGCGACATAAAATCCTCAAGCAATTTCACAGTGGTCACCCTGGGATAAACAAGATGAAATCATTGGCGCGCAGTTACGCCTACTGGCCTTCGATGGATAAAGATATCGAAAACAAATGCCGAAACTGCTCTTCTTGTTTACAAGCCGCAAAAAAACCTTCGAAATGTGAACCTCAACAATGGCAAAAACCTACTGGACCTTGGGAGAGAATTCATGTAGATTTTGCTGGCCCAATCCAAGGTAAAATGTTCTTAATTATTGTGGATGCATATACGAAATGGCCAGAAATATACAGTATGCCGAACTGCACAGCCTCGGAAACTATTCACAAGCTGTCTACCTTATTTAGTTGTTTTGGAGTGCCAGAAACCTTGGTAACTGATAATGGATCACAATTTGTTGAGGACTCATTCAAGAGATTCTGCAGTTCAAACGGCATAACGCAGCTACGGTCCCCACCTTACCACCCCCAATCCAATGGACAGGCAGAACGCTTCGTTGACACCTTCAAAAGAGCTTTACTGAAAGAGGGAGACGAGGGGCCAACTAGCCAAGTAATCACTAGATTTTTAACGACTTACAGAAGCACTCCGAACCATACGGTCCCAGATAGAAAGTCCCCAGCCGAAGCAATGTTCGGATGATGTATTCGAACTATTTTCAATGCGATGTTGCCTCCTAAAAGAGTGAATAGGTACAAGCAAAATAAAAAAATGCGCAGCTTTAACGTTGGCCATAAAGTGTATCTAAAATCATATGTTGGGAAAAATCGATGGGAACCAGGGACCGTTGTACAAAGACTAGGAAGAGTTTTGTATCGGATAACAGGAGCTTTTGTGAGCTGTGTCAGACACACGAACCAAATGAGAAAGGACAAAAGAATGATACGTTCCGGAGATAATCATGTAAACCTACCGCTGGAGTTGGTCACAGAATCGACAACTACATGTTCGTCCCGGAATACCGAAGAGAAAAAAGGGTTAGAGACATTACCTAGAAAAATTACAACCAGAATTGAAAGCCGTCGCAACCCAGTCGTAAGGCTGCAAGTGGACCCAAGGAAAAAGTCTTATTCGGGGGAGGTGTTTGGATGGCCACTGAGAAGCCACCCACGTACATAGTCGATTGACGGACTTATCGATCAGATGTTTAAATATTTAAAATGGCAGTCGATTGACTAAGTTATCGATTAATGTTTAAAAAACTTCCATGGCAATATTGATCATATATATAATTGTATAAATACGCATGTTTTATTGTATGTTTTGATTCTTGTCAAATAAGTGCTCTCAAGCGTCTTTCGTCTTCTTACTTGCGAGGGTTTGGAGGTTCTAACGTTCGAGTGTCATCAGTTATATAGTGTTCGTGCGTATTCAAGTAGAGAACATAACAAAAATATTCTAGATAATTAACATTTACTTTCTGAGTAATTTTTAGCAAATTTAGTAGAGAACATAATTCACTAAAAAATTGAATATATACTACATTGAGTTCTTAAATTTAATTAACTTGCTTTATCAAACTTCACTTAGTCGAATACCATATCATTAGGTAGATGAGATATTGAACATAAATAACTAAACTGCTTAAATTTCTCAAACATATCTGGTTACTAGTGAATTTTACGAATAGAAGTTTTATATTCACATGGCGAATCCTATATCACATCTGGAAATGAGATTTGATACCACTCATGAAGATTGGTATAAATTCTGTTTCTCAAAAATCTATATACGACCAAAGTATCGGGAAATGACCTTTTACAAAAGCAATGTCCTTAGTCGAAACCTTTTAGGGATCCTTGAGTGTACATAAAAAAAAAAGATTATTTTCAGCGACTACCTACTGACTACAAGTTGAACGATGTAATAGAACAGAATAATGTAAAGCTAAATAAAGTACACTTCATTTGGTGAGATTTGTCAATGAAGTCGACGTAATTAATGACAAGCACAATGACACTTAAATGGGCTTTCTCAGGGCCAAGTATTAAATACAACATCGAAGACTGTTTTTTACAACTACTTTTTTATAGACAATAAATTCAACGCCATTATGAACCCAGATGATATCCCAACAAGTTGACATTTCTAAAATACATTAGAGCATTATTGTTGTTTTATGGAGCATGTTTTTATTCAAATTATATGTATGCATACACTAAAGTAAGTGAAATTGAATAGTATATTTATCTTTATTTCAAAGACTGGAATGTTAAGGATGTGCTTAAAAGACTAAATAAGCAGCTCTTAAAGTATCAAATCGACATTCACATATGATCGGGCACAATATGCAGTATACTGTATAAAAAAGAATAAGATGAGATTACGGGTAATTTACATTTAGGGAAAGCTTATATATCTTAAAAGCAATCTGATACAAGCTTCATTATTACTTATTTATTTAAACACATAAAATTGGTACACAAATTGCCACACAAATCTCATTTGATTTGTGCGAAAGCGGTGATACTGCCCGGATGCCCAAACCGAAACAGGTGATTTTCTTAGGGAGCCACACCCCGAGTCTTCGACCTAAAGATCCGATTCACAAGGCAATGGAGCATCGTAAGGAGATGCAGTCCCATGGTAGCCGTGACCAACGATTGTTTCATACACCATTTGTTCCCTCAGGATACTGGAGCCCATGTACACTATTAGTTTAGAATCACTGTTTTCCAACTCCCCTAGGTGGACTCGCTGTGTCCACCAACACGATTAAATCGCCAGACATTCGCTATTCGTCCTCTCGCTTTCGTAAACAACACCCCCGCCACTAGAAGGCAGTGAGTAGGGCTTCCCTGACAGTGGTTGAATGCACGTGGCCACTTGAAAGCACATCGAGAGGGAGGGCTGACTCTCCCCACTCTCGGCCGTAGCAGGGTATTTGGGGGCCCTCCGTTTATCTGGCGACCCGATGGCTAGTTCTCTTGCAAACATGGCACTGAGTACGAGGGCAGAGCAAGCACTATTAGGATGGATCTCCGGTAACAGTCGCCTATCTGCTGTTTAGCCGAACGGCTCCGTAATGATAGGGACACACGTCGTTGCCTTTTTGTCATTTCTGCCTACGCTCCCACTGATTACAGCCCGGATAAAGTGAAAGATGACTTTTACAGAAGGCTTTCTGAACTTTTTCAAAAAGTTAAACACTCAGACATAGTACTCGTAGCAGATGACTTTAATGCCCAGAAAGGTAGCTTAAACCAAACATCAAGACACTTAGGTGGGTATTTTGGTATTTCAGATCAGAGAACAGATAATGGTGACCGTCTGCTGTAACTGTGCTCAGACAATCGTTTATTTCTGACAAGCACTGAGTTTGAGTATAAGGAGAGAAATCGTTTAACATGGCGACCCCCTGCACCAAGCAAACAACGGACTCAAATAGACCATATTACAATATTACCGTTCCCCAACCGAATTATCTGAGACGGTATGACCTAAAGTAGAAAACGTTCCCGTCAACAAAGATTGAGTAAGTCATCACAATAGACAATCCCAATCACAACGTCAAGATAACAGCCACGGTCAGGTACACTTATGGGGACTTGATAAATCAAGTATGAAAATTATGTAATTATAAAAAATGGGTAGATGAAATGCAAAAATATTTTGAATACAAATATCACACTATAACTACCAATCTTGTGTTGACCACCTCATTGAGAAAATGACTTCCAAAGAATACACTGCCTGATAATCGATCCACATTAAAATAGAAACCATCAAATAATATAGCCTTAAGTTTTGTACATATGATTATTTGTTAATTATTATTTCGACTAATACATTTTGACCCGGAAATGTTTGGGGAATCAACTTCGGAATTATTAGTTTTAAAACAGTATATTGTGTAACTCAAAAAAAATAGAATACTGGCTTTAAAAAGGTTGGAAATTTTTCCATTTGTATTAGATCACACATAACATCTAGTCAATTACAAAACTTTCTACATGATATAACTAGTGAAGAAGAAACAATGACAAACCGTTAAATCAAAACAAATTGGCCTTACTTTCAGTTTCACTGCTATTTTTAGAAAGTGGGGTAAGTAGACATTTAGCCATACTTATATATAATTGTAGCTGAGAAAATTCAGTTGTTAATGACGTCGACATGTTAGATGAAGCATCGTTGTTAAGTTTTTTCATTGCATCATTAAAATATTCAATAAGGGAATCAGCCTTGTGACCAAATAAAGACAAAGAATAAGTAATCTGTGCTAAACACCTCAAAGAATTATAATCTACTATTTGTTGACTTGTAACATGCTGACATATATCATTGAACAATGTTTGGACCCAATCAGCAGTAAATACTTCGTACGGAACAAATATAGTTTTAGATATTGACATTGTATTGTTGTTGTGACTACGACAAGGTGGTTTAATGAAATATTGTAATTCTTCTTCACAATTTCCACTTGCACCATTAAAACTAACTGTATAATTAGCTAAAGCAGCAAGGATAGCGTTAATCCACTGGGATTGATTTATATTAGGATGATAATCTGATATTCGTAGTTTACGTGATATTTTACCTAGACAACTAAGAAACAAACAAATCGTTTGATGAAAACAAGCAAAAAATAATCACTATAAATAGAATATGCAATACGAACCACTTATATAGCGATAATAATGAAACCGTTCTCTAAGCTACCAGTTATTTGTTTAGTGATCGTTAATAATAGTGTCTAAGATGTGAATATCATTCTGTTCTACTAACCCGTCCTCAGTGTTCCGTAAACAAAGTGATAGAACCACAAGGATGACTTTTTATATAACAGATATTGATTAAGATGAAAGTTTTCAGAGATTCCTTATTATTCATTATTTTCAAACAAATTTAGTTATTTTGATCTCAATAGAATTTAAACACATTAATGCCTGAAAAACTAGGGACATTTTGAAAAATTGTGGGGAAAATCAACTTAATGTCCCTTTGAAAATCTCGTTTCGTATATATCTATCCGGGAACCCTGTGGCACCTTAATCTGATTTGCTAGTGTCGCAAAAGGTGCTAGATCTGGGGCATCATTAATCGGTTGGATCCCAGTAAACAGCCGATTATGAGCTGTTATATTAGAAAGCTCCGTCAAAGTGAGAAATCAATGTGCGAAACTTTTCGTTATCTCCGCCGATGCCCTCGACAGATTGCAGCCCGGATGAAATCACGGATGAGTTGAAGTACTGGTCAAGTGATCTTCGGAAAAGCGTTCGACAGGCATTATGTTTCTGGACGGAGAATCAAATGCACAGGTTGGGCATCTAGATACAGAAAATTCATCAGGAGGGGTCAGTTGTGACTTGTTGGTTGCAGGTTAGATAACGATGACCGCCTACTACAACTTGGCGTAGACTACAACGTTTTTCTGACTAGCAACAACCGTTGGTACAATCATCACTGATATGTTATCAGGAGTCCTCCCTCTGCATCTCAAACCTGGACTCAGTTTGATCACATCACAATCAGCGACCGCTAGCGTGGCTGTGTACAAGACTGCTGCTCCTTTTGGAGTACTTATCTGAACTCTGGTCATGACCTTGTTTTTGCTAATGTTATCGTGAGTTTCAGTGGACAACAAATTCATTGAAAGATCGATGTCAGCAAAATGGTTGTGGCTTCTGTTGCAACTAAATATCAAACCGAGCTAGATTGAAGACTAACTAACAACCCACCGAAAATTAAAGATGAGCACTGGCTGTATTTGTAAAACGCCATGAAAAATGGCTATTAAAGTCGCGTGTTAACGAGTTGGAAGCAGCAGTTGTTTCTGGAAACTGAGGGAAGCTCTTCTAAATCATTCCAGTCACTGGCAGCAAGAAGTCAGGTGAAAGTGAAACAATCTGTAAAGCTGATGGGATGCGGACTAAGGACATCTACTGACGTCTTGGACGATGGACAGTCTTTTGAGGAACAGTAAAACTGGTCTGCTGTCCCGGTTACATCGGTCAGACTGACTTGTCATACTTACCAGTGTCGACTGACCCACCTAACGAGATGGAAGTCCGAGAGGAACTCTAATTCCTGAAGCGTCACAAATCATCAGGCCCAAACGACTTACTCCGGCACTGTATAAAAGTGGTGGCGACCTTTTTGACAAGGAAGTGAATCGTTTGTAAAAGTTCGTAAGTCAGAAAGTATTCCAACTTCGCGGAAAAAGTCGTTAGTCATCTCAATTAATTAAAATGCGTTTAACACGTGCGACAACTGTTAAGGGATAAGTTTAGCTCCAACTGCGACCAAACTATTGGCTTCCATCATATTTCGTAGATTGTTGGAAACTCAGGAAAGATTGATTCGCGAGGAGCAGGCTAGTCTTCTTTCTAGTTGAGTATATATTGATTAGATTTCAACCCTTCGGCAAACGTGAGAACGATTATTATTATTATTATTATTATTTGAACACATAGATATTGGTACAAGGAGGCACCAAATACATATGCGCCTTAGGTCTGATTCACAAGACAGTGGAGCATCGTAAGGGTATGCAGTCCCGTGGTAGCCGTGACCAACGATTGTTTCATACATCATTTGTTCCCTCAGGATACTGGAGCCCATGTACACTATTAGTTTAGAATCACTGTTTTCCAACTCCCCTAGGTGGACTCGCTGTGTCCACCAACACGATTAAATCGCCAGACATTCGCTATTCGTCCTCTCGCTTTCGTAAACAACACCCCTGCCACAAGAAGGCAGTCAGTCGGACTTCCCTGGCAGAGTATATACGCGTGGCCATGTGAGAGCATTTCGAGAGGGTGAGCAGACTCTACTCACTCTCGGCCGTACCGAGGGCCTTTGGGGGCCAAATGTTAGAACACCGTCATACTTATGACAGGTCAACAATCGTAGTGTTTCTTGACAGTAGGACCGTTCTCTGGGAGCGTGTATTGAAGGAGTGTGTCTGAGATATATTAACATCTTAGAGGCCCTACATACAAACACTTCAAGTATAGTGAGAGCATACAATTACCTCTCCCCATTGTTCAATTCAACCAATGGAGTTAGGAAAGGTTGCAAACTCTCACCATCCCTCTTCAATTTCATTATCGATGACGTTATGAAAACAGCTCTGATGGATGCAGGTAGTGGTGGTGTTGATCAGTTGCCTGAAGAAAGACTTCTCGACCTTGAGTATGCGGGTAATATTGTCTTACTGTGCGACAATATCCAAGTCATGAAATCCGCACTTATTCAGTTGGCAATCAGTGTCCGTAAGTATGGTATGTGCTTCCTACCTTCTAAGTGCAAAGTACTTTTACAAAACTGAAAGGACCCTGATCCTGCACTCACCCTGGGTAGTTAGCAGATAGAAGTAGTCAAAAAATTCGTGTTTTGGGGTAGCTGAGTAGTGAAAGCCAGATCGGTTTATCCCACTCTGGGCCATCTTTGGAGCTTTTGTGATGTTCGTCTGGTTGTATAAGGTGGGATCTACAACGCGTTGGTGAGAGCAGTTTTGCTCTATGCTTAAGAAACATGGACTCTTCGAGTTGAGGATGTTAGACAACCCTCTGCGCTTGATCATCGTTGTCTCCGAAGGATTGCTGACATCCAGTGGCAACACCAAGTTGATAATGCAGAGGTTCAGCAACGTAAGTTCGGGGCACAGCGACGATGATTCAATTGGTGTTACTATTTTGAAACACTGAAATCGGTGGCTCCGGCATGTCCTACGAATGTCCTGGCGGATTACACGTCGTGCATTATTTGCCGACGCTGAGATCGGTTGGAATATGCAAGAGGTCAGTGCATGACAAGATGTCGTAGTACGAAAGGAAACTGTACAGAACTGGGTTCTGTTAGTCTTACACAACTCCGTTCCTGGTCGGGGTGCAACACAGTGGCTTGAGACGTTTTCATGAATGGCTTTGAATATAAGTTAGTGGAGATCCAGCCGTCACCTCTAAATTCTTCAGAAAAGTGAGAGTATCTTCTTTAAGTGAAAGAATTCTTTCTTAAATGAACTGCTACTCCCATTATTATTATCGTTTTTATTAACACTAATTATTTATTATTATTTCACTATCATACGCTAATTTCGATTCATCGTTGTTTTTTATTATACTCACTTTCATTTTTCATTCTCTTCACAACCTAATTTTTATTGTGTGGTGCATATACATTTAACTCCGCATGGAGTCCCTTTCGGGGGGCTACTGCCGGTCCCAAACCCGGATAAAGGAGGAGGGTTGGGCATGGGGTTAGCGACCCCATCCCGTAGAAAACTAACTCGCTAAAAAAACGCTAACCAGAAAAAATTATTCAAACCATTTAAACTCTGCCCTGGGTGTCAGGAGGTCTTCGTTTAGAAGAATTCTGACACCTCATGATGAAAGCCGAGTTTCTTCGGAAGTCACAAGGCCGATGCCCCTTCTGACAACCAGAGCAACCATTTATTTAGGTACATGGAATGCTCGCACAATGTGGGAGACTGGGAGAGTTTTCCAAATTGCTGCAGAAATGAGGAGATACAATTTAGAGGTGCTTGGGATCAGTGAAACACATTGGACGCAAGTTGGACAACAACGACTAGCTTCAGGAGAGCTGCTGTTATACTCCGGATATGAACAAGAAAATGACCCACATACACAAGGAGTAGCATTGATGCTGTCCCAACAAGCACAAAATGCACTTATAGGATGGGAATCTCATGGACCAAGGATCATCAAAGCCTCCTTCAAAACAATGAAAAAGGGCAGTACAATGAACGTCATCCAATGCTACGCGCATACCAACAACTACAATGAAGACGCTAAAGATCAATTCTACGATAGGCTGCAGTCAATCGTCGAGAAGTGCCCAACAAAGGACCTGACTATTCTGATTGGAGACCTAAATGCCAAGGTTGGAATTGACAACACCGGATATGAAGACATCATGGGACGACATGGACTGACTGAGAGAAAGGAACGAATATGGTGAGAGATTTGCAAATCTATGTGCCTTCAATAAACTGGTCATATGCGGGACTATATTCCCACATAAACGCATACACAAAACCACATGGACTTCACCGGATCACAGCACACAGAACCAAATCGACCATATCCGCATCAACAAAAAGTTCAGGAGGACGATGAAGGACGTGAGAACAAAGAGAGGAGTTGATATAACATCAGATCATCACTTGCTGGTCGCCAAGATGAAATTGAAACTCAAGAGGCACTGGACAACGGGGAGGACAATATCACAAAAATTTAATACGGCTCTTCTTCGGGATAATGACAAACTCAATAAATCCAGGATAACCCTCAGCAATAAGTTCCAAGCCTTTCATGATCTACTCAATGGAGAAGAAACTACTATGGAGAGCTACTGGAAAGAGATAAAAGAGGCAATCACTTCAACATGTCATGAGGTTCTGGGCCAAAAGAAGCACCATCACAAGGATTGGATCACGGTCGATACACTGGATAAGATTCAAGAAAGGAGGAACAAGAAAGCAGCAATCAATACCAGTCGAACAAGAGCAGAAAAAGTCAAGGCACAGGCTGAATACACAGAAGTAAACAAGCAAGTGAAGAGGAGCATTAGAACTGACAAACGTAAATATGTGGAAGATTTGGCAATGACGTCGGAAAAGGCTGCCAGAGGAGGAACATGAGACAACTGTATGGCACAACAAAGAAACTCTCTGGAAATCACCGTAAACCAGAACGACCAGTGAAAAGCAAGGAAGGCAAGATAATCACCAACATTGAAGAACAACGAAACAGGTGGGTAGAACACTTCAAAGAACTCTTGAATCGACCAGCCCCACTGAACCCACCCAACATCGAAGCAGCACTCACGGACCTCCCAATTGATGTTGGCCCACCAACATTTGAAGAGATCAGCATGGCTATCAGACAAATCAAGAGTGGCAAAGCAGCAGGACTAGACAGCATTCCAGCAGAGGCACTGAAAGCAGACGTAGCGGTAACTGCAAGGATACTCCAAACTCTCTTCACAAAGATCTGGGATGAGGAACAGGTACCAAAAGACTGGAAAGAAGGACTTCTAGTCAAAATACCAAAGAAAGGCGATCTCAGCAACTGTGACAACTACAGGGGAATCACTCTTCTCTCAATACCAGGAAAAGTCTTCAACAGGGTATTGTTAAACAGGATGAAGGACTCCGTAGACGCCCAACTTCGAGACCAACAAGCAGGATTCCGTAAGGATAGATCGTGCACAGACCAAATCGCAACTCTACGGATCATTGTGGACGAATCAATTGAATGGAATTCATCACTCTATATCAACTTCATTGACTACGAGAAAGCATTCGACAGCCTGGACAGAACAACCCTATGGAAGCTTGTTCGAAACTACGGCGTGCCTCAGAAAATAGTCAATATCATACGGAATTCCTGGTGATCGACTGGATCATGAAGCACGGGATACAGTGGACAGCTAGGATGCAGTTGGATGATCTAGACTTCGCAGATGATCTGGCTCTTCTATCGCATACGCAACAACAAATGCAGGAGAAGACAACCAGTGTAGCTTCAGCCTCAGCAGCAATAGGTCTCAATATACACAAAGGGAAATGCAAGATTCTTCGATACAACACAGCATGCACCAATCCAATCACAATTGACGGAGAAGCTTTGGGAGATGTAAAAACCTTTACATATTTGGGCAGTATCATCGATGAACACGGTGGATCTGATGCAGATGTGAAGGCACGGATTGGTAAAGCAAGAGAAGCATATTTACAACTGAAGAATATCTGGAACTCAAAACAATTAGCAACCAACACCAAAGTCAGAATTTTCAATACAAATGTGAAGACAGTTCTACTGTATGGCGCGGAAACCTGGAGAACTACGAAATCCATCGTCCAAAAGATACAGGTGTTTATTAACAGTTGTCTACGCAAAATACTTCAGATCCGCTGGCCGGACACTATAAGCAACAACCTACTGTGGGAGAGAACAAATCAGATCCCAGTGGAGGAAGAAATCAGGAAGAAGCGCTGGAAGTGGATAGGACACACGTTGAGGAAAGCACCGAACTGCGTCACAAGACAAGCCCTCATATGAAATCCTCAAGGTCGAAGGAGGAGAGGAAGACCAAAGAATACATTACGCCGAGAAATGGAGATAGATATGAGAAAAATGAACAAGAATTGGATGGAACTAGAAAAGAAGGCCCAGGACAGAGTGGGTTGGAGAATGCTGGTCGGCGGCCTATGCTCCATTGGGAGTAACAGGCGTAAGTAAGCATATATATTTGGTGCCCCTTTTACCAGTCATTGAAGAGGAAAAAAATGTATGCATTACACTCGATTGAATCGGGTCATACAGTTGATTTTAATGGCGCACAAATCATTCAAAAAGGTTTTAACTCTTACAAAGAACGACTAACAGCCGAAGCCCTGCATATATGGGCTAATTCAAACAGTATTAATAGGAGAGATGGAATACAATTAGCTGTCCCATGGCAACTAATAATTAATAAGTAAACCTGAACTCCTTATTCCATTCTATCTATCTATATCTTATTAACTAATCAATAGATGATACATTTAACGGTTTCAAATCAGTTATTGTATCTGAATATGTTAAACAATTGACGGGAGCACTAAAATAACACAAACTTTCAATTACAAATGCATTCTTCCTCTTTGAATTCAGTCTGTTATCTTGTTTACTTATCTTGTTTATTTATCGTCATTTAATGCATGCTGTGACATTTGGATTCATATCATATATAAAATGATATGTTTTCTTAATATACACATACCGAAGACAACATATATTTGAATGAAATTTCTTTTCACACCACTTACGTAGACACACAATCTGTTATATTAACACTTTTCGTTTTTTCACAACACAAGTCTCTTACACACTCTTGTAAATACCTACTTCAAACAGGGTGCACGTTGATTGGATGTTCTATTCAGTATACAGTGAACCAAAGAACCTTGTACCTATTTATATTCCATAATTTTGTTGTTTGATTATATTTTCCTTGAAAAAGCTTGGACCAGATTGCCAGGCGAAACGTTGGATTTACTTAAAATTCATTCGTTGAGATTTTACAAATACATTTTTTTCCTCTTCAATGTCTCACATTAACTCGGCGCCCAAATATTGTGAAACTATTCGTTCAAATTTAGACGAAAGTTCTTATTTACCCTTGTACCAGTGTTTATGTGTTTAAATAAATAAACGAATTCAATGTCGATGTAATTTAGAAATATTGGCTTTACGTTTGGGATAAACTATTACAACAAACCACCATTTATAGATGTCATTTTCTACAAGATTTCGAGTTGACATATATAAATATACAAGCCATCAAGTATATACAGATCACCTTCGGATTATATTCCACGAGATAATTGTCATGTGTATGTATTTTAAAATGAAAACTAGTGCGGAAAGTAATTGATGATAACAAACCAAAGGAAGTGACTATTGAACTAACCTTTTTATCACTGAAGGTTTATAGATCATTAGTTTACATGAATGAAGTAGCAGAAAAGCAACTGTATACAAATTCCATTGTACATGATTCAGTGTAAGATTATAATAAATACTATCAAATAGAATCACTCTCTGATTGTATGAAAGTGCCCAACGTATATCGTATAACAAGCGAATGGCAACTGTAGGATCTACTGAACATAATATCTCTTTTCCAGACAATAAACGAATAGCGATTGCTGATCCCAATAAATGAATCTCAGTACGTAATTCCTGAGGGAATTTAGAAGTTTGACTATACTTCAATTTAGATAATACATGTGCCAATTGAGCCAAATGAACGCATGATAATTTGTCTATCTATTAGAAAAAATAGGATGAAAGGTAATAGACTATCCAACTCGTGAAACAAATATAGGTTTATGTACTCGTCCAAGTAAAAACTTTGTGTGGAAGCTAACAATACTAAGCAGTTGTGATCTAATGATTGAAATTCAAGTTATTTAACTACTAATACACATTACTATATATAAATAGAAATTAACATTCAACAGATTTGCAATGTCATATGCGTTTTAAAGACTTTGAACTAAGCCAAAGACCTAAAACTTTTTCAATAGCGCATCAACTTGTAAGGTGTACAAAATGAAGTTTTACATCACGTCAATTAAAGGTTAACAATTGATACAAGTTATGAAGGAGACGAGCATTACTTGTTTTGTTCAATTTTAAAACGTCTCACCAGAAAGTTTTATGTCCATTAGGTGAAACTAATTACTGAACTGACCAAGAAGCTATTTCACAATTTTAATAATTCAGTCTTGTTAAACAAATATTTCAGACAAATAGAGTAATTAAGATACGAACCATGTGAAAGATAGGATTAAAATAAGATGAATGATTATGCACTGCAATAAAAGTGTCAATTAAATAAGAACATAAAAATGTTTCCTCAATATCGTTGTTTGAAAACAACCACTATTCATATTGGCTTCGATGTTCGGTCATAACTTGATACGACACAAATTAATGAGCAGCATGATTTATGGTCTCAAAGAGAAAAAAGCATTATGGAATAGGATATGAAGAAAGCTTAAATTTAGGAATTCCTGACAACTGAATTCAAATATTTAACACCAAAATATTGATCGTGTCTATCACAATTTTGCTATCATTAATATATAGATACACAAATGTTTCGAGTATTTTTAATTGTTTGTTAACAAAAGTGAACACGTAGAAGCAAGCTCTTGATAAATTTTCCACAATATAGTGAACTATGATATTTCATAGTGTATAACTACGGTAGTTGACTGTCACTGAAAGTTTGTGTCTGTATTTGGTCGAGACTAAAATGAGAAAATTTTGGACTGAAGACGTTGAAGCATTACAGAGGAACTAGGAAGCACTTTCAACTTTGCTGGTAGTTTGAAGCAACTGGTGTAATTAATTACACCCTGTAACTTTACCTGAGGTATTTATGAATGAAGTTTTTAGTATTTTAAGGAACTTCGAAAGATATTGCTTTCCAATACGGAATTTCATAGTTCAGTCCTGTTAAAAAGATTTAAAGAAAGTCCTGGTGGCATAAAATATTAAGATAACGCTAATAGACTTTCCTATTGAAAGATTTATTGTATTATATTACAAGCAAATTTAACTGAAAAGTCTGTAACTGCAGCCACAGTCGACAGTTTAAGATGAAGTGGATAAAACTTTTTAATATATATATATATATATATACTACTGTTTTTACTAAACGTTTTAACCACCAACTTCAGTGAACAAAAACATCAAAACTGGTAGACTGTTTTCGAGTCAATATACAACTTCAAATCTAAAAAGCGAATACCACTGTTTATCATATTTTATATTATACTAAAAGTAATCTTTTATTCAGTATGCCGAATTCCACATCACATTTGCATTTAAATACAATGTTAGTTTTATTTGAATTCCGATTCAGTAAACATTGTTTAGCATTTGTGTAACAGCCCAACTACACAGACGTGTACATTTTACTGAATAACATTCATTTATTTTGCTAACCAGTCACAAATCAGTCTAATCCAAAACTTTTTTCCCCCCAAAAAATAGTTAAAAATTACAAGTATTAAAATAGTGATAGAACAATATTAAAATCTCACCTGATTATTTATATGACGTAGTACTGATGCGCAAACTTTTGGTTCATATCGTTCCCAAAAATTTCCAAAATATCCAGCCAGTCTTAGTAAAGATTCAATAGATAAACTATTGGCACAAGCTGCTGTTGTTAATACTAAAAGATCGAATTTTTCTGATTTCATCCAAGAGTAGTTATTATTATTGTTATAGGATAGATTACTTCCTACATCGAATTTATGCCATTTTGTTATATGCTCCAATTTTATGTAATGTGATGGCCAATCATCACCAGATGCAATAGAATTTCTCAAATCATTTTGAGCATTACGAATTAGTAAATCATAAGACTGATTTTGCATTCTTAGTAAAGCTTCTAAACACATCGCACATGCTTCCGAAGGTAGCAAACGTACATCAATGTCCAAAATATCATTAACTGTTGTACTAGGCTACGTAAGGTAAATGATTTTGTTTTGAAAAAAGGTAAACTTTAACATTTAATTATACAATAGATAATTTGTCAGTGTGAAAAGATGGAGATTGTTGACTACCTTGAGACGCGCTAGAAAATGACAGCAAATTTTTTAATAACGAAAAGCCGAATAATCTGTATATTTTACGATAGAAAAAATTATGCATAACGAACAGATAATAACTAGGTACAATCAATTATAAATTTGCACCTATTTGACTCGTTATGATCTATAACATCAAAAAGGAAAGTAACTAAGGAAAATGAGGGCCTAAAAGTGTAAGAAGAAAAAACAAAACACAGAACGAAAAGTATTAAAATGGATACACATAAGCACCACTACAAACGACTTTGGGTTGTAACACTAAACTTTCTAAACATTGATTTACAAATATTAACCAGATAGCCTGCATTCCCCTACACATCTCAAATCAATGGTCGATGACTTTGCACATTGATACTATGTTCTAGTTTATTCCTTTATCATTTTTTAGTCAATAAATTATACTAAGGTACACCACAGTTGGGTTCGCGCAACACATCTCACAATTATCTAAATCAGTGGAGGTTAAAAATATTATATGTACTGGATGTAGCTGCTACCTTGACGTGGTGGTCGGGCTTGCCTATCGTGATGACCCAACCGAGCTATATTGGCTAGAACACATGTTCCTGCAGGTTCTATCATGCCAGGCAGGTCGATTGGAGAACGGTAAGACTAAAAGCAGCAATTCAAGGTCTGAGGGCGAAGTCGTACTGCTGACTGTACAGAGGTGTGACAGCAGTAAGGTGTTTCCCTCGGACAACCAGCATCTGCAGCGATGCTGCCTTCTCACAAGGAAGGAAGGGGTTAGAAAAGGTTGACTCTAAAAATGTCACACCTCACCTTACCCCACGGATTTCCGTCTCCGGCGGTAAGGCCCTTTGAAGAACGGAGCTAACACATTAAAAACCTCCCACAAAGATGCCGTGCGCGACCGGCTTCAAGCAGTTGTCCCTTGGGCTCTGCGGTCACTCACTCAGGTCGCTAAGACCAACACTAATCCGATTTTCTTTTCAGGTCCCTCAAGAAATACCCTTCCACGGTGTGGGCAGCCGGTAAGTTACACCAGCTCTCATACCCGTAACAGCACACGAGACCAAGTTGGTCACATTCAAATCCTTCCTACACCTCCTAATAACTCTCTTATCTCCACGACTAACCCTTCTTACGTCCCTTTATCCCCTTGCCCCACTAGTGCAAACGATTCGAGTACTCAGAACGTTATTCCTGGTCTCCTGAAACCACGCTCTAAACTACACATAGGAGCTTTCAACGTCCGAACACTGTGCCGAATAGGACAACAGGCTTCCTTAGCTAGGACTTTAGAATCTCGCTCCATCGATGTGTGCTGCGTCTCTGAAACGCGCACACAGGATCCTAGTAGTGTCATTCATTTGACCAAACCATGTCAAAGTAACGAACCAACTCGATTTACGCTTCGTGTATCTGGAAGCCCTGATGCTGCTTCCCGTGGTCTCGCTGAAAAGGCAGCGGCAATAGGTAACAGCAGGCAACTGTTCAGACTTGTTAAGGAAACCGGTATTAGGAACCCAACTGTTAGCGAAACAATCGCAGAGAAAGATAGACATATTATTCATTCTCAATCCAGGAGATTGGACCGATGGGCAGAACACTTTAGGGATCAGTTCAACTGGCCTTCAGCAACACTTCGGTTTCCCACGATCTCCAGTCGACCTGAATGGCAAGTTGATGTAAATCCTCCGACTCTTCACGAAGTTGAAAAAGCTATAGGAAATCTAAAGCGTGGGAGAGCAGCAGGCCCTGACGGGTTTACCTCTGAGATTTTTAAGGATGGCGGTCCAGTATTAGCAGCGAGATTGACTGAGGTCTTAGGTAGAATCCGGGAACTGGACGTAATCCCATCTGACTGGTCTCAATCACTGATTGTACCAGTCTATAAGAAAGGACAAAAGTCCTCCTGTGACAATCACAGAGGAATTAGTTTGACTAATATAGTGTCTAAAATATTAGCTTCAATTATACTTCGACGTCTAACCAAAGCTCGTGAAGAGCAGACTAGAGAAAACCAGGCTGGTTTTCGACCTGGACGTGGTTGTATTGATCTAATATTCACATTACGTCAGGTCCTAGAACATAGAAACACATTCAGAAGTCCCACAATGGTAGTATTTCTCGACCTTAAGGCGGAATAAGGCTCTGTTGATCATAAGGTCCTATGGCAGTGTTTGTCTCTGAAAGGAGTACCAAAGAAGTACATCAACCTTATAAAGGCTCTCTACTCGAACACAACTGGTCGAGTGAGAGCTTATGGTGAACTGTCATCAGAACTGATTACCTCAAGTGGTGTTCGTTAGGGCTGTCCACTCTCTCCATTCCTGTTTAACTTTGTCATTGACGTGCTTTTAGAAATAACACTTTCCACATCTGACTTTCCAGGGGTTGAACTTCTACCGAAAGATTCACTTGTTGACTAAGAGTATGCCGATGACATAGATCTATTTGGTGAAGACGCTGACAGAATGCAGAGTCTGCTGACCACTCTAAGCAACAATGCAAGCATGTTCGGCATGCGATTTTCTCCCTCGAAATGCAAAATGTTGTTTCAGGATTGGGTTGCATCGACACCCGAACTAGTGATAGGGAGTGAAGTAGTTGAGCGTGTCGACCGCTTCACTTATCTTGGAAGTCTCATCAGCCCTTGTGGTTTGGTGTGTGACGAAATCTCAGTACGGATACAAAAGGCTCGACTAGCTTTTGCCAACTTGCGTCATTTGTGGCGTAGGCGAGATATCCATCTATCAACCAAAGGACGTGTTTACTGCGCAGCAGTTCGTTCCGTCCTACTTTATGGCAGTGAAACATGGCCAGTAAGAGTAGAGGATATTAGTAGGTTACTAGTATTTGACCATAGGTGTCTTCGAAACATCGCTCGTATATCCTGGGACCACCGAGTAAGTAATGCAGTTGTTATGAAACGGGTACTAGGTAAGGATGGCAAATCAATTGAGGAAGTGGTGAAACTTAATCAGTTGAGATGGCTGGGACATGTGCTGCGCATGCCCGACCACCGACTGCCCCGACGTGCTATATTTTATGGTGTAGGAGTAGGTTGGAAGAAAGCTAGGGGCGGCCAGACCAAAACATGGCACAAATCCATGAAGTCACTGACAAGTGGACTGAGTCATGTCGGTAGGTGTAGACTACCTGGTTGGGGACCGCGAGACGATAGCAACCGATGGTTAGAGACCTTGAATGACATGGCTCAAAATCGTTTGCAATGGCGCAGGTGCATCCACTCTCTGTGTTCTCTCAAACTCTAATCTTCTGAATTCTTCATGTCCTTTATTTTCTTTCCGAATCTATTCCACTGGACTATACTCCTTAAATAACATCATCAAACCTTAATGTCCCCTATCTCTACTTATACTTTCAGTACCTCTACCACTATGGGATTTGAATCGATAACTGAATCTCTGTGCTAATGTGGTATGGCAATTCGAACTGATGTACGTACATAGGTACGAAGTTCCACGTTGTTACTGACTGACTGACTGACTAACTGACTGGATGTTCATTACCAAAATGGTTTTTATTGACGAACTCAGAGATAAGCAAGGCTTTAAAGACTCCTTTATGCCCAGTACTCATAACTCAAGAATGTCTTTTTGCAGTTGTGAATCGACAGAGGTCTGATGTATAAAATACCAACATTTTGTATAGGCAGATGAACATTTCATCTGAACCACGTGTCATAAACTAGCAAATAAAAATTTTGTACTTGTGTTGAGATTTTGTCAGTTATTAATCTATTAGGGATGAGACTTTCAAGTTTGGCAACAAAGAATTTGTTGAGAGAGGACTTAAGAAGATAGTACAATTCTCATAGTTTAAGTTACGGACTGATTTTAGCTAGACTACCATTGAAAACCAAAAAGCGCTGGACAACTGTTTCAACCTGGTATGGGACTCCTCAAAGGTGTGCATTCACGACTCTGCCATAGAAAACTGAACTGGAGTCCTCCCTAGAACTCCAGGGATAGTGGAGCTCAATCATGTTGAGTGTGAGACAGTTACAAATAACTGATTTTGTGATTGGTGACAGAAAGCAACTTTTAATTATTCGACAGAAATAAGTTGTTGAGTGAGCTTAATTTTAAAATTATTGTACGGGATAGCCTAAATCACATGAAAATAAAATGGTGTAGAAACTTAAAATGATACCGATTAAACTTATACGCGATAAAATAACCACAAATGTAATATAATTAGTGATGATTGGCATGTAGGAAGTGAAGTTTGTAGTCCTCACCAGTAGTTACCATGGTGTGCGCGAGGGCTATGATACTACCCAAATCCTGTGATCCCAATTATCCCCTATGTAACTGGATATAAACCAGGATAGTCACATTATTTTGAAATGAAATAAATACCTGTAGAAGTGGTTTATTAGTTGGTGCGCTCCGCTTTCAACTACTGCATTCCAGGTTCTAGAACTGGTTAACTTACCCGATTTGGGTATATGAGTGGCATCACTAGCTCTTACACAAACAGTGTAGCTCAAAGCCGAAAAGAAGAACCAGTATGATATACACAAAGTACATTTGTACGACATCCGTAATAACATGCAAACACCGTAACATTATATATATATATATATATATATATATATATATAAGCTTACATGTGACACAAAGCTTTTTAAATCTTCAATAGTACTTAGATGGGCAATACCATTTTTGCAATGCTGGTCTAAGGCTCTGATAGCAGAATCCAACTTTTCTGTTGAAGAATATGAAAGAAAATGGTCAGATCCTTTATATTCAAAGCCACTGAAGTCTGCTTTTTCTATTAACAAATTTAGTAAGGAATGGTGAGGGTAAATCAGCTGTCGCTTCAAAAAGTTGGGGACATGAGTAATGATTTTTCCAAGCATAATGTTGTTGAGATTTTTCAAGAGTAATTCAGGCGTACTCTGAAAAAAGGTTCTTAGCACTGAATCAAAACAAGCATTTCAACTTCTAGCTAATAGAGGTAGTCGACTTTAACCATGCTGAATTGTCATTTGTCAGGAATTCCTTGAAGATTCAATTGAAAAGAGAATGAAATAAATTTCAGCAGTGTTGGTTGAAATATACTAGAACCATAAGGCTATAATCCAAGAAGAAAAGTAAAGATTAGTTAAAATAGTTATAAAAACCATTCACTAAGAAAAATACAACTTAAGTATCAATACCAAGGTTGAACTTGATAGTTCCAAATAAATTAGGCATTTGGTAGAGAGTTAATGATAAATATATTTTTTGTGATATCCCAATGAGAAATTTGTATTTCTGTGGTTTTGCAACTTAATGCGAATTACTTCTTCAAAGTAAATAAATAAATAGGATAAATTAACACACGTCTAAATGGTAAAAAAAAGGACAAGTGAGTGTACTATTTAGGCTTGTTAATTATTTTGGTTATTTATTTATTTACTCTGAGGAAGTAAATCACATCAAGTCACAAAACGTTGGAAATACAAATTTCTACTCATTAGGATATTACAAAATATATAATTTTTATCTTAATTTAAAGACGACAAACAACATATAATCAGCCCGTTAGTATCATTAAGCCTTAAAGTTCGAACCCAAGTATATAAACCTGTCCCTGGAAAATGAGTTACCTCAATTAATGATGAAAAGTTGGGATTACATAAGAAGCTTCCTTTGGAGGAAGGGTTAACATCTGATATCTTCATTCCGTAGCTTCATCAGATTAGCCTATGCTGATATAGATTTGGATGATATTGTATAATGCAGGATGCATACAGTTGAAGGCAGGTTGTCGTTACCCATATTTAACGTGTTTGCCAGATTTAAAAACAAACATCAGATTATATTTGTGACACAAATGGAATGATTTACTAACACTCATCCAATTGTTTCAGTCTAGTGTTAAAGCTATAGCAATCTCCCTATTTTGGGGCGAATTTTGTCTGTTTTGGGGGCATTTTGAAGCCGCACTAGAAAGCTGTGTGGAAACTCCCGAGTTTTCGGGGGATCACCAAAATTTGGGTTTTCCCTCCGAAATTGAGGGAAACTGCCAAATTTTTGTGACTAGGAAAAGAATACAGAATCTATCCGAAATCTCCACAAAACAGGGAGATCGGTATACAATCAGGATTAAAGTGTATAAAACTGAGCTTAAATGTAGACTTTAGGGTTTAAATGATCACAATAAACGGGAAAATATACCGAGAGAAGCTGCAATAAAGCACTACAAACTAATGAACATTACTTGTAGCACCGAGAACCTTAGTTAGGATATTTTTGAAGCAGAGATTCAACGAGAAAGAAACATTTCAGTATGTCAAATACGTTCATAGCGTATTGAAGTCTACCAAAAAGACAACCAACCACACATTTTTGGAAATACCTACCTATACGCCACCTCAAGGTCGACTGAGATTTTGAAACATGTTTACAACTCATTGGACAGTCAGTATGTGTTAGCATATGGTGATTAACATTTGTGGGGTGGTTGTTTTGTTTTGCTACTATATGGAGATAAGAGATTTGTGGGTAACTTGCAAAAACCTCTCACTGATGAACCCTCTACAATAGCACTAATCTCTATTTCGTAACCAAATAAAAATGTTCCGTTGTGTATTAGCATTTGCTTTTCATGTTCAATGCCACTTACACCAAGTCCTTCGTGGTACTATCCTAATTTCATCGATCAAGTTTCAAAGTGCCCACCATTGTGAATGATTCGACTGACATTATGTAGTGATTAAAATACACTACATTAGTCACTTCCTAGCGATTAATCTATTGTAAATAGATCTCCGTCCTCGAGGAGATCGAACACGACGCGGAAAATTCAGCGGTAACGACTCTGACTGTGAAGCTGGGTGAAGCGATTTGACTGTGAGAGAAAGATTCAATTTCTTCGAAATAACCAATAAACGTTACGGTCGAGTTCCAAATAGCACGATATCTACGTCCGGTGATTCCTACCAAATGTCTCCAACCACTACCTCACATTTTGGAACATCAATTAACGTGACCCTTATTGTGTCAGCAGACAGTAGAAAAATTTTGAGATGGTTTTAGAATTTGTGTCAAAAATGAATGTAGCGGCAAATAATTCCGAAAATAAATAGTTCTGTGATTGTTCGACAGTTGATACTTACCTCATTATTTTTAATGGACACGTTTAGCTGAACGTGCTTCATCACGCATCCACAACAGATCACGAGTGGGTGGGTAGTGATACGCATCTCTGACAACCATCATCCAGCTTAGATTAGACGATTACTGATATATCTATAGCCTATAAAACATATTTTTGAGCCTCGTCATTTCTGACCTCTGATTTCACTGAGTTGGCATACTTGGATTATAAGATTTGTTACGAGTAAAGGTACTGTCAACCACCGAATACTCGTGAAACCTTTGTACTTATGTGGTTATATTAGTCCTATTCACGATGAGTTTCCGGTTACACTTAATGATTTTTTGACTAGTTTCTTAGAAATAATTAGTCGTATTACTCTAGTGTATCACTGTTTAGGGACAGTTACAGATATCTAATGACGTACAATGAAGCTAGTTTAGCCATTTGACAGCAAATACCCTTGTGATTAGGATAGATATTTCAAGTTTGATATGTTTGAAGACTGATAATCTCGTTTGTCTCAGGATATTGCAGTTCCTGACTTTGTATAATTAAGTCACTTTTTCTTCTTTGTCTGATAGAGTGATGAATTTCAAGGTGTTTTGGTCGAATACAGAGAATAGAGAGAAGACGAAATTTAGAACTAAAAAATTAAAATAAGCGACAAAATGGGAATTCTAATGCAAACATTAAAATGTGGGGGGGGGCAACAACAAAAGGGAGATACACAGGTGAACTGATGAATGCATTGACGTCTTATTCCATGCGCTTATTCATTATTCCAGCAGAAATGGTACCTTTAGACTTCTCTACCAATCTGTTAATTAGGCTGTTGTAAAATACGCTTCAGATCTTTAGTCATTATAGCCCCATACTTATAATCATCAACTGAGGTTTTTCCGAAGACCAATGGTTCATCTCGTGATGTTGGTGGAAAGAGATGACGTTTCCATTTCACAATAATGCCTTGCTGGTAATCATGTTAAAAATGACCATGTTCCAGTCTCATTTTTTACCATCTTTGTATTAGAAAGCAGGTTTCCACCTTTAATGAGACATTGCAATAACTTAAGTTGCAACAGTGAGACATTCTTCTGGCGATCCGTCATTTTCTCTCTCATATTTGGGGATGAAGAAGTTGGAGATCCCACCCATAGTTACTTAGTAAACATTGTGAAGTATCACCGTCAATTTCATTTTGAAAAAAGCTCATATATGTCTATGAGTTGTGGGGTTGATAGCTTTTGCATCATCTACTTAGTATCAGAGCCGCAAATCCATTATTGGCAAGGCTGTAGCGATTCAGCGAACACGATGTTGTAAGTTATGATGGATTTGTGTTTCCAACGACTTCCTTACACATTCTAGAACTTTATTTAGATTTGGTCACTCGCCGAAGAATTCTGCGCCCTGGGTATTTGTTACATCCTTGTTTGCGTCTAACAACTACCAAGTTTTTGAATGTCAAAATCATAATTTTAGGATAAGCACTGAGAATAAAATGATTTAGATTACGTTGGAGTGAACTTGCTGTCCGCAATTACACATTGATTGTGAAGAATCACTGAAAAAGTGGCATGGTTCATGACTATTGCCTGCTTGCCTTGTGACAATCGACTCTTATTAGATTTGACCTTATGATTCATCCATCACGCCATATGTAGCTTGTAGTAACTGCGTCAGGATTGCGTGCTTCCATTATGATTGACGGAAGCGAACTTTATGTCACGGTTAAAATTCTAACAGTTTCGAACCCATGTGCTGCGTACTGTCCAAATAAATAAAATGCACAAGTTTCGAATGAAATAGCGAAGACATATTGGCCTAGTGATAATGTGGTAATATGTCAAGAAAGAGGCTCTTAGAATACAAACATGCATAGGCTAGTTGGACAGTCATCTAACCTAGACTATCCAGATAGTTCGCACTGAAAATATAAATACAAACAAACGATAGAAACAGTTGTTTGGATATTTTATAGTCGCTTCGAATTTCTCAATCAATTTGTGTTTTTATGAACTATCAGTCGTTTTTGTTTAATTAGCACTTGTAGTCAATTTGGTTTAGTTGAATAATTAGTTTGATCTCTTTAAAAAATACAACATTACAAAATCTCAAAATGAGACGGGCTTATCCAGTAGAAAACAGCAGTACGAAACAAAGGAAAACAAAGCAGGAAAATTAATATCTCGAAATCGTTTTACTATCTGATTGATGTTGCCATGAAAAAAATTGAATGGATGTTTTCCCTTTCATAAATAAATAAAGTAGAAACAATTTCTTCTACTAATAAATAATTCATTCTATGATTCTTAGCTTTTTTGTATGACCGATTGGTTAGTATAGATGTACACAGTTCTCCAAACAACCGTTTGAATATGTAGAGTCAGTCGAAACGATGCTGTTGCTGTTGAAGATGCCACAGGTATTCGGAGTTTTACAACGCTTTAACCAGTAACACCTTCTAATACGAATCGCACCCTCCAAGTAAAATCAAAAGACAGAAGCGAGGAGATCGAAAATATATTTGATAAGCTATCAATATATCGAGGATCGTTTGCACTAATCTGGCTAGCGATTGAGGCAGATGTTGAGCACGGCGTTCCCACACGTGATCTGGTGCGGATGCTTGAACGAGCGCCTTCAGCTAGATGAGTCCACTAAAACTGTGGTCAGCATCCAATGTCGAAAACTTACAGAGCTATTTGATTTTGGGGAATTATTTACCGCTACAGATCACTCC